TCAGAGCAAGGTCCTAACTTTCTTTCAATTCTACAAAGGCTAAGAGAAGCTACCAAGCTGCAGAAGAAAGTTGGAAGCTGGCAGAGGTTTGTTCACAAGGTTTAAAGAAAGAAGGCATCTCCACAGCATAAAAGTGCAAGGTGAAGCAGCAAGTAGTGATGTAGAAGCTACAACAGGTTATCCAGAAGATCTAGCCAAGATCACTGATGAAGGCGACTTCACTACACAACAGATTTTCAGTGTAAATAAAACTGTCTTCTACTTGAGGAAGATGCCATCTCTGACTTTTAAAGCTAGAGATAGTAAGTCAGTGCCTGGCTTCAAAGGACAGGCTGGCTCTCTTGTTAGAGGCTAACGCCGTTGATAACTTTAAGTTAAAGCCAGTACTCATTTACCATTTGGAAAATCCTGGGACCATTAAAATATGTTAAATCTACTCTGTCTGTGCTCTGGAAATGGTAGAACGAAGCCTGGATGATGGCACACCTATTTACAGCATGGTTCACTGAATATTTTTAAGCCTGTTTTGAGACCTACTGCTCAGGGAAAAAGACTCCTTTCTGATGAAACTGGAATGGATGAGGAGTTGCTTCTTATGGATGAGCAAAAACAGTGGTTTCTTGAGATGGAATCTACTCCTTTTGAAGATGCTGTGAACACTGTTGAAATGACAACACAGAATTTAGAATATTCCATAAATTTAGTTGATAAATCAGTACCATGGTTTGAGAGGACTGACTCCAATTTCAGAGGAAGTTTTACTGTGGGTAAAATGCGATCAGCATTGCACACTACAGAGAAATCCATCACTAAAAGACCAGTCGATTGGGCCGGGTGTGGTGGCTCATGCCTGTAATCCAAGCACTTTGGAGGCCAAGGTGGGCAGATCACCTGAGGTCAGGAGTTCAAGACCAGCCTGACCAACATGGTGAAACCCCGTCTTTAAGGAAAAAAAAAAAAAAAAAAAAAAAGACTAGTCGATTGGTGTGGTAAACTTCATTGTTGTCTTATTTGAAGAAATTGCCAGTCACCCAAACCCTCAGCAACCACCACGCTGATCAGTCTGCAGCCATCAACATTGAATCAAGATCTTCCAGCAGGAAAAAGATCACAACTTGGTGAAGGCTTAGATGACTGTTAGTATTTGTTAGCAAAAAAAGTATTTTTAAATTAAGGTATGGACATTATTTATATAGACAAAATGCTATTACACACCTAACAGGTTACAGTATAGTTAAACGCAACTTTTATATGCACTGGGAAACCAAAAAATTTGTGACTCACTTTATTGTGATATTTGCTTTATTGCAGTGGTCTGGAACCAAACCCACAATCTCTCTGAGGTGTGTGCCTGTACTAGAACTGAGTGGTGGGAAAACTGGGGCTTGTTTTCTCTGTATTCGCTCTAGGTGTGAAATGTCTGACAATTTGACAATCTGTGACATGGTTCACAGATGTGGTTCCTGCATGTTATTGGGCTTGGCCAGGTCCAGGGAGGCCTGCAAGCTATCCCTACAATGGGCAGACTGAAACGTGCACAGATGTCTGTGACAGGCCTGTGACCAGCCTGTGATCAGGCTGTGACCAGGCTGCTGCCTGCACCAGGCAGAGCTTTGTTCCATAGTAGGGATGCTGCCAGGGAGTCTGGCACCTGGAGCACAGCCACTGGCTTGGACACGAGCCATCCAAGAGCATGGAATAAAAATAGAACGGCTTCAGCCGGAGAGGGGACAGGCTGAGCTCCTTGCTGGGAGGCCTTTAAAACAAAAGCACGTTTCACCGATCTGAGCATAGGTAAGGATGCTGTCACGAGTCAGGCAGGGGTCAAAGTCACCTGTCCTGGTACCGAGAGGTGCCTCAACATGATGGCGCAGGGCAGTTATTATTATTCTCATCAGCTGGCACTGTACCTTAGGTAAGCATTAGAAACTGGAGTGCAATGGTGTGTTTTTCCCCCCTTTCATTGCTAGGGTAAAGAATGCATGCTCTGTATACAGTTGGTGACAGTTGTAAAACTAAGAAAGTGCCAGTGAAAATGATTTTTAAAATGAAACAGTAAGGCCAGGTGCAGTGGCTCACGCCTGTAATTCCAGCACTTGGGAAGCCGAGGGGGGCAGATCACCCGAGGTGGGCAGATCACTTGAGGTTCAGAGTTCGAGACCAGTCTGACCAACATGAAGAAACCCTGTTTCTACTAAAAATACAAAATTAGCTGGGCATGGTGGTGCATGCCTGTAATACTCCCTCCCTCAGGAGGCTGAGGCAGGAAAATCGCTTGAACCCGGGAGGTGGAGGCTGTGGTGAGCCGAGATCATGCCATTGCACTCCAGCCTGGGCAACAAGAGTGAAACTCTAACTCAAAAAAAAAAAAGAAAGAAACAGTAAAATATATTTATTTTATGGAGTATTGAGTCATGATGTTCAAGGACTTCAGAAGTAATTGGATTATTGGTTTTATTTTTAAAATTCAGGAATTCTAATCAAAGTAATACATATGAACAAGGTTAAAAAAATACCAAAAAAAAAAAAAAAACCTAATGATAAAATGTCTCTTTACCTATCCACCTATCCCCCACCACATACACCATTTCTACCACCTTGGGACTAAACATTTTATAGCTTCTGTTTTTAATTTTTTTTTTTTTGTTATTCCCTTCAGCTTCAATAAAATCCTTGTTCTCCCAGTTTGTGATTTATGAGTATTTGACAAAATATACTGGCTTCCTAGTATGAAAGATGAATACAGGTGGCCCTTGAACAACAGGTTTGAACTGCGTGGGTCCACTTCCATGGAAATTTTCTCCTGCCTCTGCCACACCTGAGACAACAAGATCATCTTCTCCTCTTCCTCCTCCTCAGCCTACTCAACACGAAGACAAGAATGAACACCTTTATAATGATCCACTCCCACTTAATGAATACTAAATCTATTTTCTTTCTTACAATTATTTTCTTAATAACTTTTTTCCTCTAGCTCACTGTATTGTAAGAATGCATAATATATCTCACATACAAAAGATGTGCTAATTAACTGTTTATGTGATCAGAAAGGCTTCTGGTCAACAAGCTAACAGTAGTTAAATTTTTGAGAAGTCCAAAGTTATGTGAGGATTCTTGACTTCACTTCATGGGGGAGGGAATCAGTGCCCCCAACCCGTGTTGTTCAAACATCAACCGTAATCACCTCCATTCCAGTCTCCCCTCTGCGCCTTCTCCCTCCTCTGCCTGCGTTTACATTAGAGCAGTGTTTTCACTCTTCTGCAGGTTCTCTCTGCAACTTTACACTCACACTTACTCCCCTATGTTTACTACCATACCTCTGGTCTGTGTCTTGACTCCCCCCTTCATCGAAGCTGAGGGTAGGATGGCCCCTGCTAGCCACTCCTTCTAGGTCCCACAACTTTGTCTACAGTACAAGTGGAGCCCAGTGGATTTGAACTGCAGCAGTGAGAGCCACTACACCCCTGGGCAGCTGGGCATGTCACTGTCACATGTTACTCACTGCACAGCTAAACGCTGGGCCAGGGGACAGTTCTTTCTTTATGGGCCTAAAGTCATTACCACCACCATCCTCTCTGACCACACAAGGAAGATAGTTTTAGCATCCACAGCAAATGGGGCGAACTCATTTTGCCTTCCCTCAGAAACTGAAACTCCTATCTCATGTTAGTTTGCTTTCTAGTTGAAGCAGAATTTTGTTATATACATTTTCCCTATAGCTTTTAATTGCCTTTCTTCCTTCTTATTCACAGAATAATAGTAATAACAGAGTAATAATGTGGCTCTTGTTCTCAAGACCTCCCCTGCCCTCTCCTACCCCATGGTTCCCACCTCCACTCCTTGTCTCTGGGTCGGAGCACAGCACCGGCCTCCCTTTACCACCCCCTGGTGGATCACTCAAGAGTCAACCCCAGGTTTTTCTCTTAGCTTGATTTCTCACTTTGCTGGAATACATCCTCAAGTAACTATCCAAGAAAAGATGCATGGGAGGATGGGTTTCTGTATTTTGAGTCCTTGGAGGTCTAACAGTATCTTTTTTCTGCCCCGTGCTTGATTCATAATTTGGCTTAGTGTAGAAAACAGGGTTCGAAATTACTTCCCAATCATCTTCTTACAACCATTGCTACTGATGGGGATCTGATGCACTGCAGTTCTCAGCCTTTGCAGTGAACATTTTATTTTTACCATCTTTGAAGTCTGTCAACCAATCTTACTCCCTGTCACTCTTCACTTTCGTTCAGATATTTCTAGAGTCAGGTCGTTTTTTCCTTGATCCTGCGTTCCATGGAGCACTCCATCTGAAGACGCCACGTCTCCTTAGGGCTGTTCCTTAGGGCTGTAACGCTTTCCTCTAATCTTGTATTGTTAATTGTCCTCCCTCTGCCTTCTTTTGGAATTCCTGTTAGTTGAAGGATTACTGAATCAGGCTTCTGTGTCCCTTATCTCTGTGCTTGGCATCAGCCCTGTGTTTATTTTCCTTCTTTTCTTCTGGTCTGCTCCTTGAGCTGAAACTGGCTTCCTTACTCAAATCTCACTTACCCCAAAGACCCAGACCACGTGTCACGTCCTACGGCAGCCTTTCCTGCCATCCCCGTCCTCAGGCAGTGTTCACGGCACTCTTGGCCATGGCATTTTGTCCTGACCCTTACTAGGCTGTGGAGTCAGGAAAGGACTTACCTTCTCAGCTGCATAGGCCTTCTCTATGGTGTGGAGGGCTGTGGCGACTATGGGGGTGAGGGTGATGCGGGGAGTGTGAGGGGGTTGTGTGGGCCTGTGGGGGCGCTGTGAGGTGCTGTGTGGGGGGCATAGGGCTGAGGAGGCTGTGGGGGTGCCGGGTGTTGGCTGTGAGGGGCCGAGGGAGGATGTGTGGGGCTGTGGGGGACAGTGTGGGGCGGCGTGGGGCAAGGTTTGGGAATGTGGGTGTGGGGGGCTGTGGGGGGCAGCGCGGGGCTGGGTTTGGGGCTACGGGTGTGTGGGGGTGTGGGGCTGGGTTTGGGGATATGGGCGGAAGTGTGGGGCTGGGTTTGGGGCTGTGGGGGGCAGTGTGGGGCTGGGTTTGGGGCTGTGCGTGT